CAGTCTTGGCTAGGTTACTTACTACATAACATCCCTGTTGTTTAGGTACATTAACATAGAGCCGCAGTCTTGGCTAGGTTACTTACTACATAACATCCTTGTTGTTTAGGTACATTAACATAGAGCACCAGCCTAAGCTAGTTTACTTACTACATAATATCCTTGTTGTTTTGGTACCCTAACATAGAGCCGAGTGTTTGCCAGTTTACTGAGAGGATGATCGGCTGTATTGATGAGTGGTAGAGTTGGACGACTGTTTGCCATCATTAGTTGGACACATTTCTCACATCTTTGTAAAACAAGCTGAACTCTGGAGAAACATAAAATACAATTTTAATACAACTGTACAACTTTGCCACTGAAATTTTCTTACATAACTTTACCATCTATAATAAGAATTCCAGAGTGCATCTTATCCGCTGCAAGGTAAGTAAGAACTATAACATTTTTAACAGCGGACAAATAATAATTCCCTTGAAATTTGGAATCAACATTTTTTTGAATAGCTTAAGACAGGCCTGCACAACTCAAACTGTAAGGCGGGCCATAATACTTATTGAAAAACTTGTTAGGGCCAAAAGAAAATAGGACAAGACTTGTGCGGGAGAGAAACTAAGTAAATAATAAGAATAAAGAATATTTCGTTACTTCGGCGGCCGCAAAGTGGGTGCTGGCGGGCCGTATGTTATGCAGGCCTGGCTTAAGAGATGAAAAGCAGCTTGTACATTTCATATGCATACTGACTTGGCTGCGGCTATTCGGACCCAGGTCCGAGAAGTGAGATTTTGGGTTTATTAAAAAATATTAAAAAATTATTGTAGGGTTTGTAAGACAAAATAAGGTATCAAATGAAAGATAATTGAATGGACTATATTTTTTGTAAACTTGCTTCTTCAGTTTAATTAAAATAAACTACAACAAATGACATCCGAATAGCATTTAGTCAAAATGGACCCTGACACGCAGCGCCCCGATTCGGACCCGGGTTCCTTTAGACTCAATGCTATTTGGATGTCATTGGTGGTAGTTTATTTTAGTTAAACTGAAGAAGTAAGTTTACATTCATATAGTCCAATCAATTATCTTTCATTAGAAGCAAAATTTCGTCTTAGAACCTAACACTAATATATTTTTTACAATTTTAATCCCAACCTCTCACTTCTCAGGTCCGAATAGCCACTTCGTACTGACTTAGGGTTTTTAGGTTGCTGTGAGCTCTGACTGGTATTGACTTATGGTACTGACTTCATACACTCATAGAAAGGGTTTGAACAGTCATGGGATATACACGGTAATCATGGTAATTGATTTCCTACACTTACTTATTTTGTACGCTTATTGCTATGCTCATTGAAAACAGCACCAGTACTTGTCTCTACCCACTCTATATAGAGACACTACAACTAAGCATTGGTGTATTTATGGAGGGTCATCTGGAATTATTATTAGAGAACTTTGCACCCCTTCCCATAAATTTTTTACATGAGCAGCATGGTTGGGTTTCCCCAGTTAGTATTTCATAATTCCTTAAAAATAAATATTTAAAAAATATTTCATTTAAAAAAAAAAACAACTTCCCAATAGAAATCCACTTTTTTAAAAAAAAAAACACAAGAAGTGATAGCTTGATTGGTCTGATGTCTCAGGCCTGTTAGCTGTGTATAGGGCTTAGAAAATACCACAGTGTGATGAGATGCCGGGTTAGATTTATCAATTTTAAAACAATGACAAGGACACAAGACATTAATGTTCATGCTCATTCAATCCATCGGTTTCAAACCCAAAAAAGACTTACTTCAGTTTCATGAGAAGCTTTTCCATTCCCCTGTGTTCTCCATTCAAACTGTCTTCTATGCCCTGGACAGCTGAGCGTTCTAAAATATGAACACAATAAACTCATTTCTTTTTTTATTCACTTAAAGATTCACCAAAACTCTTAACTTAATTTTATCATGATAAAAAGTAACTTCAGTCATTACCGGCAATATTGAAACTAACTTTACCTAGTACACTAATAAATTAGCTAAGTCTTTTACTAATCTCATACGTTATTGCAATAACTATTATACAGTTTACTTTTTTTTTAAAAATAAATTATTTTTAAAATGCTCTTTCCCTTCTGTTTCAATCTACTGATTTTGTGTTGCGTGGGATTGTTGTCCAAAAAGCAGACAGAAACCCATGTTAATTCAGTGTATTTGTCTATTTAAATTAGCACTTGAAGTTCTCTTACTACACTTGAGTAGTGGCATTCCTGTAACTATTAGCTCCATTAGGCTATCAATTTCTGCTTGTGTCATTCCTGTAACTATTAGCTCCATTAGGCTATCAATTTCTGCTTTTGTCATTCCTGTAACTATTAGCTCCATTAGGCTATCAATTTCTGCTTGTGTCATTCCTGTAACTATTAGCTCCATTAGGCTATCAATTTCTGCTTTTGTCATTCCTGTAACTATTAGCTCCATTAGGCTATCAATTTCTGCTTGTGTCATTCCTGTAACTATTAGCTCCATTAGGCTATCAATTTCTGCTTTTGTCATTCCTGTAACTATTAGCTCCATTAGGCTATCAATTTCTGCTTGTGTCATTCCTGTAACTATTAGCTCCATTAGGCTATCAATTTCTGCTTTTGTCATTCCTGTAACTATTAGCTCCATTAGGCTATCAATTTCTGCTTGTGTCATTCCTGTAACTATTAGCTCCATTAGGCTATCAATTTCTGCTTTTGTCATTCCTGTAACTATTAGCTCCATTAGGCTATCAATTTCTGCTTGTGTCATTCCTGTAACTATTAGCTCCATTAGGCTATCAATTTCTGCTTTTGTCATTCCTGTAACTATTAGCTCCATTAGGCTATCAATTTCTGCTTGTGTCATTCCTGTAACTATTAGCTCCATTAGGCTATCAATTTCTGCTATTCTTAAAAGGCAAGAGGGGGACTGATACAGGGTTTTTGTTTTTTTTTTATGAAGAAATATTTAACATTGGCCGAGACACTATGACCCCACCTGCCCAAAATCTGACTTTCATTTTAAAACAAGCAACCGAGAACAATTTAGTAGAAAAAACGTACCACATGATGGCACGGAGGCCATGTAAGATCCTGTTTGGACATCTATAGAGATTCTCAAGACTTCTGATGACATGCAAGGATTTAGTACACTGACATGAAGGGCAACCGGCATATCTCTGACTTCACCTGGTGGGTAGGATGGTCATATATTTTTAAGCCTTATATATAACACTCATATATTTTTAACCATTACATATAACAATCAATATTGCAGCCCATTTTAAACATAGTATTCTTTTATATGATAAAGAAAACAATTTTGTCTGTTTTAATTTTGGGCCTGATCTTAAGTATTTCTGTTAGTTAGCAAACAAGAGTTTTGCGAGTAAATGATAGTGTTTTACTTACATTTGCCATCAATAACTCTCTGCATTTCTCTAGCCAGTTCCTGTTTTAAAAATGTCAAAACATTTAACTAACCATACAAACAGTGAAATGATAAATACATGAGCAAAAAAATTATATATATGTAGCTACAAAAACTTAACTATTGGCTAACTATAGTGGTACAGAAACTATTAGCTAACTATAGTGGTACAGAAAGTATTTGCTAACTACAGTGGTACAGACACTATTAGCTTACTATAGTGGTACAGAAACTATTAGCTACCTATAGTGGTACAGGAACTCTTAGCCCCTACCTTTAACTTGGAGTGAGTTCTGACTTCAATGGTCTGCATGAGTAACTTCTCTATGGACAGATGATCACTCTAAAATAGTATTTTGTATAAAAACCAACAATTAAATCTGGTAATTAATAGTTCATTTCATATTCAAAACTGATCTTTTATTCGGACCACAGCAGTTAAAGGGCGATGTTAGCTGCCAATGTTTGGTCACATCTTTATTCAAATTAATTTATATTGTTATAGAGCCTTCATTCCCCGCAGATTTTCCTTTTCACTCTGCTCACTGACCCATGGACAATAGCAGAAGAAATGATCAATAATAATTTCATCTAACAACCCTCAGGGAATAAACATTTATTTATAAATATTATTTTGACAGTTTTGAATAAAGTCAATGACCAAAACTGTATTTTTCAAAGTGTAATTTAGCAGTTAAATGAAATTTGGAATCCCCACCATTTTGAAATTAAGAGAAATGTAAATTTAAACAAATCATAGAGCATTTTGAGAAAGAAAATAAAAGTTTATGTAAATGGTTAGTAACTGTGACTAGGTGAAACCAAAATAGCCCAGTAAATGATGTACCTTGATTGCAAGTCCAACTTTTCTACTTTCAATAGGTGTCATGGGAGGTGTGTGGGAGATCTGTAGAGGTTTGCCTTCATCTTCTTCACTCACGTGAACACTCAGTTTGTAAACTAACATAGTTTGGTAGCAAAGAAAGAAATATAACAGTTTTACAAAAAACAATTATGAGCTAAATTTGATATATCTTTTAAAAATCACAACTGTAAAATTCGAAGTGAGAATTAGCGGTCCTGATTAAATGATTTCATTATTCCTAAGATAATTATACAAATATATTTTCATCTATAACTGATGAAGAACGATTATGCTTTTAAAGAGTTTATCTCATTGAACAAAAGATGAATTCAACACTCCTTTGGTATTAAAATTAAGGAAACTAATACCGTTATTTTTGTAGGAAAACTGGTTATCAGTAAAAAATCTGAAATCTGGTTTTACATCCTTAATGTAAATGCTTAAATATGAACTAATGAACTAACTTGGAAAATGTTCCATGTTCTGCCTCTTTTTCTGCTGATCTCTAGAATAAATGGCAAACAAACCAAATCAAAAATCAACTTCAACATTAACTTACTAACATTGAAAACATTGAAAAGAAAATTTTCAGGCTCACACTTAACACCAGAGATTAATTTTTTTTATAGACCAATGAGCCCTTGAAGCATACAAAAATAAGTGTTTACAGCTAATTATTATTACTTATGCTATTTTTATGGTGTATACAATTAATAAGGAAAACTGCCATTTTACCTCAGAGCTTCAAAGATCACAGTTTAATCATAAAAAAAAAAAAAAAAAAATTAACTACATACCTAATATCTAATTAGTATTTAAAGACTACAAACAATCAATAATTTTTTTTAAACAATCACGATCTCTGAAAGTTCTCTTGCTTTGACTTTAATTTTACATTTAAGTTGTACAGTACAAACCTCCAATATGATATTGACAAAGACTTGCTGAGTGAGTACTCAACAATACAAATGCTGTCCCTCAGCCTGTCATTCATCAGCCTCTGGGCCTGTTTTATGTTAATAAACATAACAAAATATTGTTTTTTTATGGTCCAATATGAAGCTTTGGTGAAATATTAACAAAAAATGATTAGTCTACATACAAACATCAAAATAACCAACTAAATAATGTGTTTTTAATTTCCAGACTTATTCCAGCCATTGTATGTTAAGTTGTAGGACTACAGCTATCATGGCAAAGACATGTAATCCCACACCAAGCTCAGAGGTTGAAATGAAGTCTGTCACTCAAGGTTCACCTCCTCAATAGAATGAATAACTATAAGAGAAATACGGGAGGTCGGCATTCAAGTCGTAACAATGAGAAATATACACAGGGTGGCCAAGTTGTCTAAACTGAGTCAATCCCAATCTTGTGGACTGGACTTCAATCGCCAGCAAAAGCCTAGACAACCAAAACCATCCCCAAGCACCCCTTTACTTTGGGTGGCAACTCATCTCAGATAAAGAAAACTCTGAATTCAAACCTGGAGATGTAGTCCCTTACGCAGAATGACATAAACTTAATGATAACTCCTGCGACGTTCCTTGTGCTTAGTTGTATCATTCCCACATGATGATAACCCTTTGGTTATCCGGATGCATGGAGAGAGGTGATTGGCTGGCTAGGGAACCGGCTCAACACCTAAAGAAAAATCTCAGGCCTTGATATTTTGTCCTGCGAAGTGTACACCATTGTCACATTGTGACAGACAGATGACAGAGGAAGAAATAATTGTCTGACATGTTTTGTCCATGTATATACATTGTACTTCTTTGGTATTGGGGGAAACAGAACAAACTTTGAAAATAAAACTTACTTGAGAATGAAGGACTTCAAGCTGCAGTGACTGACAAAATGAGTCTGGGCAAGTGTTAAGAATATTTTTTTGATACTTAAATTGATTTTGATACAGAATGCAACAACACCATCTCAAAAAAATCTTGATAGTTTTGCTATACAACCATTTATTGTGTAGTTTTGATAATCATTTCACTAGTTAGTGAAGTTGACTGCTATGTCACACATTTTTGTTGACCTTTATAAGCTACTGTAAAAACAAAATGCTGAAATTTAAGCGTCATGTCATTTGAAATGGAAAAACAAACTAAAATGTTCACATTCATAATTTTCAGAAAAATTATATCTAACTGATGGTCTAGGCTTTTTCCATTACTATAACAGGCTGACACTGAACAGTTTATAACATGAGATTAAATGACAATGAAGGATACGTAATACTTTGTAGAGATCATGCAAAGGGTGGTCTACATGCAACAGCCTGGACTGGACAAGCTCATGTATGTAATGGACCTGCAAGGAAGAAAAAAACTCTGTTAACAACTGAAAGAAAAACTGACAAACCACAAATTTGTTTGGAAACTTTACATGAAAATCTAAGTCTGGACAAATATAAATTATGATTTACAAATATTAAAAGTTAGAAATGTCCATACCTGCATTGAATGTACCAATGATTTTCCATCTGAAAGAAGATAAAAAAAAGTTGAAAGTTTAATCTGCATTCTATATTTTAATTATATTCTAATGTATAATTAAAATATTCTATATTTTAATTTTATTGTAATGTATAATTTAAAATAACCTATCTGCATCTCCAACAAAAAATTAATTATTTATTATTTCCTAAAGCAATATCAGAAATCAAAATCACCGTTTTGCCATGACAGGATATCCATTATTTGAAAATTGTTCAGGCAAATAGTTGCATATATGCAAATAGTATCTAATTCAAACAATTTTTTTGTCCAAAAATTGTACGTTATTAAACAAAAATGATTTTTTAAAAATCTAGAATCACATTTTCTAAATTAGTTATATTTTGATTTAAATTAGTTAGCAAGTGAATCAGATCAACAGAAACTGTGCAACTAGGGCATGAGGGATAGTTACACTAAATCTAACTAAATTAAAATCAAAAGGCATTACTCTGAATCAATTTTTAAAACTCAATTTCTTATAAACACAAAGATAGGTACACATTGCTGTAACAAACATAACAAACATTTTCAATAACTAGCAAGTTCTTCAATTAATTTCAACTCTCTTTTACATTCTACCCAATAACTATTTGCTGCTTGTGGAGTGGCACAAAATATATAGAGGTGACCCTGGTTTAACCATGTATAGGATTAACCATTACTTCAACCACTGAGGACACATTGAAAACTTAACTCACCAAAAAGGATATGGGTGCGGTTGGGGGGTGGGGGTATGTTGGTTAATTTAACGTCTATGTTTTGAGAAAAATGTTGAACATCTCAAAATAAACATTTCTCTGAATTGAAACTGGATTAGCCAAATTTGAACCTCAGATGCTCAGACTGGTGCTCTAAAATAAATGATGACAGGGTCTATTGCTGTCAAATTATTTTCTTTGTGATAAGAATTACTCTTTGATGAATTTATAGGCACTCACGCCCTGTTTCATGATCCTCAACAAGAAAGTTGACATCCAGCAGACGCCAAGGAATAGTAGGACTATCCCCCATTAATGTGAGAGTCACCTGTTGGTAAACACAAGAAATTGCAATGACATAAATAAGGCATTTCGTGTTAAAATAATTAATTAAAAGACCTACTGCAAAAAATTATAGAAGCTCAAAATCAATTCACGTTCATAGGAGTGACAGGAAGTAATACATTTTCAAAAATTTAACAAGTCTATGGGTGATTTTTAAAAAATTTAATTACATGTTAAAAATTTATTGAAGCAAAAATTATGAGCAAATTTAGCTGACTAAAAAAAAAACAAGACTTTAATAAGGTGTTAACAAATAAAGAGACCAGTGAACCAAAATAGCGTCAAATTAAAAAGGCTTATTTTTAGATCAGGGCAACACTTAATCTGATTCAGTAAAAATTTATTTCAAGTTACTTTGGATGACAGAAAGCTTTTGTCTGAAAGCATTTGTAATGTTATAACTTCATATCCACAGAAAGGTTAATTAAGTAACCTTGCTTAAGACAAGGTATTGCTAGATTGAATAGAGGAACTAAGATACCATGAGGCAGCTGGTGTACTTCTGTGCCAGGAGTGACCCAGCAAAAACATTGCTGAATTAATTAAGGGGAATTACCTCAAACTCTTGTTCTACAAAGAACTTGACTCGACCTTGGTCTGCAGAATCATTACAATAAAGAAAGAATCAGATCAAGTTTAGTGATGGTCAAGTCTACTCAAACAGTAATAAAGAATCAGATCAGATCAAGTTTAGTGGTGGTCAAGTCTACTCAAACAGTAATAAAGAATCAGTTCAGATCAAGTTTAGTGGTGGTCAAGTCTACTCAAACAGTAATAAAGAAAGAATCAGATCAAGTTTAGTGATGGTCAAGTCTACTCAAACAGTAATAAAGAATCAGTTCAGATCAAGTTTAGTGGTGGTCAAGTCTACTCAAACAGTAATAAAGAAAGAATCAGATCAAGTTTAGTGGTGGTCAAGTCTACTCAAACAGTAATAAAGAAAGAATCAGATCAAGTTTAGTGGTGGTCAAGTCTACTCAAACAGTAACAAAGAATCAGTTCAGATCAAGTTTAGTGGTGGTCAAGTCTACTCAAACAGTAATAAAGAAAGAATCAGATCAAGTTTAGTGATGGTCAAGTCTACTCAAACAGTAATAAAGAAAGAATCAGATCAAGTTTAGTGGTGGTCAAGTCTACTCAAACAGTAATAAAGAATCAGATCAGTTCAAGTTTAGAGGTGGTCAAGTCTACTCAAACAGTAATAAAGAATCAGATCAGATCAAGTTTAGTGGTGGTCAAGTCTACTCAAACAGTAATAAAGAATCAGATCAGATCAAGTTTAGTGGTGGTCAAGTCTACTCAAACAGTAATAAAGAATCAGATCAGATCAAGTTTAGTGGTGGTCAAGTCTACTCAAACAGTAATAAAGAATCAGATCAGATCAAGTTTAGTGGTGGTCAAGTCTACTCAAACAGTAATAAAGAATCAGATCAGATCAAGTTTAGTGGTGGTCAAGTCTACTCAAACAGTAATAAAGAATCAGATCAGATCAAGTTTAGTGGTGGTCAAGTCTACTCAAACAGTAATAAAGAATCAGATCAGATCAAGTTTAGTGGTGGTCAAGTCTACTCAAACAGTAATAAAGAATCAGATCAGATCAAGTTTAGTGGTGGTCAAGTCTACTCAAACAGTAATAAAGAATCAGATCAGATCAAGTTTAGTGGTGGTCAAGTCTACTCAAACAGTAATAAAGAATCAGATCAGATCAAGTTTAGTGGTGGTCAAGTCTACTCAAACAGTAATAAAGAATCAGATCAGATCAAGTTTAGTGGTGGTCAAGTCTACTCAAACAGTAATAAAGAATCAGATCAGATCAAGTTTAGTGGTGGTCAAGTCTACTCAAACAGTAATAAAGAATCAGATCAGATCAAGTTTAGTGGTGGTCAAGTCTACTCAAACAGTAATAAAGAATCAGATCAGATCAAGTTTAGTGGTGGTCAAGTCTACTCAAACAGTAATAAAGAATCAGATCAGATCAAGTTTAGTGGTGGTCAAGTCTACTCAAACAGTAATAAAGAATCAGATCAGATCAAGTTTAGTGGTGGTCAAGTCTACTCAAACAGTAATAAAGAATCAGATCAGATCAAGTTTAGTGGTGGTCAAGTCTACTCAAACAGTAATAAAGAATCAGATCAGATCAAGTTTAGTGGTGGTCAAGTCTACTCAAACAGTAATAAAGAATCAGATCAGATCAAGTTTAGTGGTGGTCAAGTCTACTCAAACAGTAATAAAGAATCAGATCAGATCAAGTTTAGTGGTGGTCAAGTCTACTCAAACAGTAATAAAGAATCAGATCAGATCAAGTTTAGTGATGGTCAAGTCTACTCAAACAGTAATAAAGAATCAGATCAGTTCAAGTTTAGTGGTGGTCAAGTCTACTCAAACAGTAATAAAGAATCAGTTCAGATCAAGTTTAGTGGTGGTCAAGCTACTCAAAAAGTAATAAAGAATCAGATCAGATCAAGTTTAGTGGTGGTCAAGCTACTCAAACAGTAATAAAGAATCAGATCAGATCAAGTTAAGTGGTGGTCAAGTCTACTCAAACAGTAATAAAGAATCAGATCAAGTTTAGTGGTGGTCAAGCTACTCAAACAGTAATAAAGAATCATATCAGATCAAGTTTAGTGGTGGTCAAGTCTACTCAAACAGTAATAAAGAATCATATCAGATCAAGTTTAGTGATGGTCAAGTCTACTCAAACAGTAATAAATAATCAGATCAGTTCAAGTTTAGTGATGGTCAAGTCTACTCAAACAGTAATAAAGAATCATTTCAGATCAAGTTTAGTGGTGGTCAAGCTACTCAAACAGTAATAAAGAATCAGATCAGATCAAGTTTAGTGGTGGTCAAGTCTACTCAAACAGTAATAAAGAATCAGATCAGTTCAAGTTTAGTGATGGTCAAGTCTACTCAAACAGTAATAAAGAATCAGATCAGATCAAGTTTAGTGATGGTCAAGTCTACTCAAACAGTAATAAAGAATCAGTTCAGATCAAGTTTAGTGGTGGTCAAGTCTACTCAAAC